CTATGAAATAGTATGATCTGAAATTCATAAGAAGCATGCTCTAATGCTGTTTGATTTGTCTAGAGTATCCGTTCGTGTTTTGATAAATAAAATGTGACAAATTAATACACATTTGCTTCCTCTATGTGTTGTCACATATGAATGCCAATTGACATGAGAATTTGTTAACATGAAAAATCCTCGAGAAAAACAGATCGCATTTCTTTTTGTGTACATCTGAGGACTGTCTAACTGGACTCCGTGGAATAAGCAGGAAGTAGCTTATTTCTGAGTCATATCATCCCTTAGTACAGGATTTTGTTCGAAAAAATGAATTTTCCAACTGATGCGTTCTTGTAAACTTTGAACTGATCTGTTTCGGGGCATGCTCTAATATTCAATGATACTTCATTGATATAAAAACTATCTATATGTACAGATACACTTCTTTAAATAAACACGAGACTGAATATCTGAAATTTTTCACAAAATTCTACTCGTAAGTAAACGATTTGATAATACCATCTGATACCTTCATCAAAATTTTCAAAACCTATTCAATCGGGTACTATTGAAGAACAGCATTTATGTCATAGACTCCTCATCTTCAATAGATCTCTTGTAGAGAATTTCGGCACTAGTTGGGACTGTTTTATACAATGAAGATAGTTACAAGGAGTGTTGCGACTAATGCCTTCCAGTTACTTGCAGTTCTCTTTCAAATAAAAACATTTTTTGATAATTTTGTACGAGTAACCTACAAGAGAGCTATCAACTTGAAACAGCTTGTATAAATAAATTGTAAAAGAGTAAAATATATCTCCATAATCCAGAGATATTATCGAGTATCCTAGTAGAACCCTTCTACTTACTAGCTGGGAAGGACACTTTTTGTTCCAAGAATATGACTAACTTTATAAATTCACCATTTTTAAAAATCTTATCGCGCATGTTCTCTTTCAGTAGAGATCAATATACAAAGTAATATCAAACTAAATTGTCAGAGATATTTTTTTATCAGCGTTTTTCACTCACCTGGGTTTTCTACGACTTGGAAAACATCCATTGACGTGAAATGAAATCGAATATCACTAGCTTCATCGGGACAAACGTGCTTTTTGAAGAAAAATTTTAATAAACATGATAGAATCTATTTCAATTCAAATAAGTTTACTTTTATAATTTATTCATCGCTATGAAAACAAGAAATACAACACGTCAGCGGATTCATTGCACGAAATATAACTATAACCATGACGTGATGCATTCATTGCTCATAGCAGTGATGGGACCGGTTCGTGTTTTTTTCGAACCGAACCGAACCGATTAAAGGATAAAAACAAATTTGTCGATTTCTGCTGTTTTTTAAAGATATTCACTTATAACAATTTATTGAAGACGTGATTATAACACTTTCGATAGTTCTAAGAGTGGCTTAGAAAGCTGAGCTGCAAATAGTTTTAAAAGCGTAAATATTTTTCAATCAGAAATGGCTGCAGTGCAATTTTAGTGGATGCCCATCTTTTGTTAATCAAGGACGAGTCGCTACATTTTTGTTCGTCGTTCAGTGTAAAGACTAGAATTTGTTTCAACTAATAGGTTATTATTCTTTGAAGGACGCTGTGTGGAAATTTCATATAAACTAGGCTTTGAGAAATAATTGATATATGTTACGCTTTCCAGCCTTTGCTCTGTACTTTTCTAGTTCATCATTTCGGATTGACGAAGCACTTGAAAATAGTAACCTAATAATGATGGGAAACGCATCTATTGAAAAAGGGAAAAGTTGTCCTTCAAAATATAACGGTTTTGCCAAAATGTTAAATTTGATATCGTTTTTTTACAGTTTGAGAAGTAATACCCACAATTTAGATACTTTTTTTCTAACTTTCTTGTTATATGTTAAGATTATTTTTAAGTTCAAAACATACCATTGTTTAATTAGTGAATTAAAAACTAGTACAAATTGGTAATCAATTAATATTTGTTTATATACATGAATGCTTCCTACTAAAATGTTGTCTGTAAACGTATATACTGAGTCATGAACAAAAATAGTACTCATGGCTCAAGATTTATGAAGCAGTTGGTTAAATCATAAAAATGTGCTATACTGTCTTCAAGGTAAACTAACTCATCAATCATTTTGATTATTTTATTCAAAAATATTGTCGAGTTTTCGATCTTGTTCAAAAAGTCATTATCAGCACTAATTTTACATGAAAGTGAATTCCACATATACATACAACAATTGTATTTGTATTTTTTTCGTTCTGTTATGAACATCGAAGAGGAAACGAAGTTCTCCCCTTCGTAATACAATGTGCGGAAGAGAAAGAAAAAGAAAAATTGTTCTATATATTATAGGTAATTTTCTTTCGTCTAAATGTAGTGTTGATAATGACCTTTTGAACGTGGTCGACAGCTTCACAATATTTTTGAATAAAATAAACAATATGATTGATGAATTACTTTACCTTGCAATTAGTTTATTCATTTATATTCCATCAGCCGATATAGATATACTTTGTTCATTCACTTTTAGTGTACAAGTTAACAAATATATAAGAACATATATATAAAATAAATCGGTTCCGAACATTTGAAACCGGTCCCATCACTGATATGAAATCAAACAATCAAGGTTTCTTTTACTCATCAGAAAAAAAGAAACTTTGAGATTCAATGGTGATTAGTTTTTTTACGCATATATCAGCGTATATTTTTGTTTTGATCATGACAGCATAAAAACAAAAAAAAAGGAAGAAGATTAAAAGAGAAAAAAAGAACCACGTGGTGACGAACGCATATAATATAATAAAAATACAACTAAGTAGATACAATAAACTCCAATAGATTACAATAAGATAAATACAAATACAAATACAAGAAATAAAATAAAATGAGTATAATAGGTTGAACGACGGTGTCTAAGTTTGTATTTTACCCATATTTATATCTAAAAATATAAGATATGTAAAACGGCAAAAAACGTTCGTCTTATGAGGTAGTCGTTTCCGGCAATACGGAAACCACCACCTAAAAGGCCACCGTTTTTCGCCTTATCATATCGTTTTCCAGTGCGTCGTTACTGGCCATCGTAACGGTTGCCATTGTTAGTCGTTTACGGACCGTTCTATACGACATGGGATATGCCGCAGTTATGATTTTTTACAAGCAGAAAAAACAAATATAAGATTGATTTCACTGATGTATTTTGTGTTATGTAGTACAATTATGAAACGATTATTAGCACTCTATGATATAGATTAGATCAGTTAGTGTTATCAGTCGTTGTTGTTCTCCTTCTTCGTGTAATTGATAGAGCCGTTAGCTCTTGTCACTTTTAAGTGTGCTCCAATATTTCCACTCTTAAAAATTTGCGTTTACAACTATGAACCAATCAAACAATGTAAATAATAGAAAATAAATTTTTGTTTCTTTTACACTGCTGTGAATGCAATGGCAGTGAAATAGACGACCGTACGCTGAAGATCTAGATACTTGTACGTTGTTATTATTATTTCATTCTATGCGAATAAATCTATATTTTAATGTTCTAATTAGATTAGTTCAGCTAATGACATTGTTGGATTTCTTTTTCTACAGGCAAAAGAAAATGTTTGCTAGATGAATTAAAAACATATTGTTATTATGAAAAAAAAATTATGTTGTAGTAACAGATGAATTTTTTGTAGCAACAGATGTTCTCGTTATAACTGTAGTCTTTGTAATTGTAGGCATCGTAGTTGACAATTTCATACTATTTATATGATGTGTATCATTATTTTCAGTTGAGGGTAAGATTGTAGTGATTATGGTCGTATTCATTGAGTTGGATGTTCCAACTGCTAATGCTACAAAAAAAAAGAAACGAACTTATCAAATTCAGATTACAACACAAGTTGAATTAAATTTCCTATTGATACAAGAAAACTACATAGATGATTTAGATTAGGATAGAAAAAATATATATGAAGTATCTAATTTTTCACCCGATGTTTCACGAGACAAACGATGAATTTGATGGAATTCTGAATTAAAACAATGCAATAAATAAATCTTAATTTGAAGATACTCACCAATTGAAATAAATATTACAGCCGCTACTAGTCCCAATCCAGCAATAACAGCAATAACTATTAGAATGATTGTTTTTCTTGAATACATTGATTTTTTATTCAATCTGTTATTATAATCTTCATTGTTACTATTCTAGATAAATATTCGCGTAAAAAATGATCAATTCTAATTCTAATTACATACTTGATTTTCTCTTAATTTGATGTTATTAAATAAATTAATCTGATGCATAGCTTTGTTTTCTCTCATTGAGTTTTTAGAAACGATGACGAAAAGAACAGAGAGAAAATGAAACGAATTCGAAGATATTTTACTAATTCAAAACAAAACAACATCATGAACAAATCAAATGATAAACAGACAAGTAAAGAATTTCTAGACACAAGAGCGATTAATAACATCTTGTATGAATTTATTGAACTTGATTTTCGTATTCCGTTGTTTCAATATCATCTTGTTTATTTTGATTCCAAGGTAATATTATAGAATGATGTCTAGTAAATATTGGTGAAGATTGAAATGAGAAATTGAAATGCTTATGTTGATAGTTATGTTTTCTAAAGAATTATTTCAAAAGAAATGAACTTATTAATAGTTTCGAAGGCTTTTACTGTATACATCGACGAAGACGAATTGTTATTAGATATAGAAGACAATGGCTTATTGCTGTAATAATTGAAGCTGTTAAATAATTAAGCTATTGCAAGAAGAAAAATTAGATAGCTAAACGATATAGAAAAGGTCAAAGTTGGATTTATTTAACAAACTAGGTGTTTAACAAAAGCATGGCAGAATAATTGTACAAAATTCTGATGCAGTTCATGAAGAATTTGGCAATGAACAAAGTGTTGTTCATATTTAGAGTAACTCTAAAATAGATATTATTCAAAAAAAAAGTGGAGTGAAAGGAGATCAAAGCATCTGTAGCCGAATCAACCATGTCGTTTGTAGTTCGAAGCAGTTATGTGATTAACGTGTATGTAACTCAATAAAAAAATTACTTGTGGATAATAGCATCAAACGGAAAAAAGCTATCAGAGAATTAGGAGTAAATAGACAATATTTTGACGGAGGTTTCATAGAAACTAACATAATTGTCTAATTTCACAACACTTTTCATTTGCAGGCATACAAAACTTGATCTGAAATTCTTGAGATTCCTTAATCAGTTTATGTAGGAGAATTTAGTCGGTAATTCTATACCAAAAAATATATGTTGATCAAGGGCCTATTGATTAAGCTTTAAGTTAATGTCGCCATTCAAGACTCAGTCTATAAGTATTTTCGCAAGCAATACGTAAGTTTGATTCAGTGGCTCAATTAAGTAAAATTTCTTCTTTAACTTCGCATTCAAATTATCTTACTGGATAATATTCATCGACATCAAGATGTTCCATATTCATTTTATCTCTACTAACATTCTAAAGAATAGAGATAATTCTTAATATTCGTTCTGAAATTAGTTCAATCAAACAACATTTACTTGATCCACATTAGTATCTAAGAGTCCCAAACGAATAAAATAATTAACCGACCATAATGATGAATTTTCTTTACATTTTCTAGAAACGAACATTTTCATAATTTATTTTCTCTTTAAAAAAAGAAACATTTCTACTCAATCAATTGATCAATATCAATAGAATGGTTATTCATTGCTATAAGAAATGTCGAATTAAACCATTTGCTAGCAAACAATAACTAAATCATAGAACAAGAAAAAATTGATAATTCGATTAAAACAAAACTTTTGTACTGAGTTATAAACTTGTTGTTCTTTTAAATCATTGCAAGCTGAACAAGCACCAGCTACATGCGGAAGTAAAAGAATACATTTAGTAAACCTATATAAAAAAGAACTAATGAGTCAATAGATTTACATTTTAAAAATACCAGAGAACAAAACCAATCCAATAGATAATTGATAATCTAAAATCGAACATGATAGAGCTTTAAATTTACTAATTTTTTTGGCTACATAAAAGTAATGTTTGCGTATTTAAATGATTTCAGATGAGAACAATGAAGTTTTTTAAATATTAGATAGATAACAAATGCACATAGACTCAGACATACAATAGTACAAGCAATTGCGAGTAATCGAATGCTAGAATAATAATTAATAGAATATTTATTTTAGAAATAATCTTACATAAACCAAGAATGAAATAATTTTTCTAAGTTTGCCAAACGTATTGATAGATCATGGAGAATCTATTAGAATAGTAAATAGAAATTCTGAAAGATTCTCAACTTAATTTTAAATTACATTTCTTAAAAATGATACACCTCTTAATGCGAATTTCACTTGAAAATTGATCTGAAAACAATTTTCCGAAAGAAACAAAAAAATTTCAATGTTAATCGTACAGAAAGAGTTCCATTATTTGTCAATGTATCATCATTTATTTGAATTGAATTGATAAAACAATTGATTTTCTAAATACTGAAAATATCACCGAAGGAAAAAGTTTCTTTCGAAGATATTACAGAAGTTGTATGATCGATAAATGAACTCAATTCTAATGAAGCTTTTTCAATATAATCATGAATTGTTCTTTCAATTGTTATTCCTTGAAGAAGAAGAATAATCATCCACATGAGAAAACAACTATGAAATAGTGTTTTTTTGTTCGGTAAGAAATCAAAGGATGAATTTTACCTTGTTAACAAAATGCAAATAAAAAATATTGAATAGATACATTTGAATAAAATATGCGCAGATCTTTGTTCTTTTGAACAATAATTATTGTTATTAATTATCGACTGGAATGTATCTATTGAATGTGAATAAATATGAGATTTTTTCTGTGGAAAGTTCTGATTCCATAATAATCTTTTTTCTATCATACGTTGATTTCTTTTGTATTTACAAAATGTTTTTATACTTGATATCATGAGGAAAATTAACAGAGCAACGAACAATATAATAAGAAGCAATATCCATAAATTGTTTGAAACCTATCAAATCAATCAGAATGACAAAATATTTATATAGGATTCAATAAGTTAAATAGGATTACTAATTGAAAAGTGTATTGAATCAAAAACAATTTATTATTATTTTCATCAAGTTGCTGACCAATAAGATCTATGGGAAACATGAGACATGAAAATAAATTATTTTCAATAGATTTCATTTTTAAGTTTTACTCCAAGGATATCGTACATTCAATTGAGTCAATTTTTCGTAAAACCAATTAAAAATAGATTTATTTTCGGCTAAAGCATTAGCATGCGATTTTAATATAAATTTCGCTTTATATTCGTCTTGCAGATGTTGACATGCTATTGACATAGCCTGTTGTATCATAGTGAAAAGTATTAGTAGCAAAATTATTTTGTTATGACTATAGATGCGATCAGCTGAGCTTTGTTTCATTAGTGACATTGGATTTGAAATCGCTACTTAATGAGAGAGTGTATCCTTTTTCAATACAACAAGCTAATAAAGGATTGACTTCTACTAATAAAATATGCAAATTCTAATCCCCTTCTATGATTTTGTTTTTTTTCTTTCGCTGCCAATATTCTTTTATTAATCTTCCTGATTGAAAATTTTCAATCGTTTTCAAAAAAAATTCGTGATTGTACGTTCGATATCTGTAGTCTGATTAATGAATTTTATTGCAATGAGTTTGACTTAGCGTTATTGCCTGGCGACGTATTAAACTCGATATGAGAACGAATAGGACATTTGACTAGATGTGCATGAAAAAGAAAGAGAATGATTTCATTCATAGTTTTCGCTGTCTGGCCTGCAATGTCGCGCCCTAAAGCAATGACATATGTGTAAAGAAAGAAATATATAAATACAATATCACTGAGTTTTATTATCATTCATCACACAAACCATTGAAATACAATGCTCTTCGCCGCATGTAAGTTGTTGTTACTTTCGGCTATATATAGACTTGACCATGTTCTTATTGGCTCTGATCTTTTTATATTATTTCAAAATCGTTAAGAAGACAAAAAAATCGTTAGGATAGAAAGAAGAGGACGAAAAAAATGAGGTAGACACAATAAAGTAGTAAAAATACTGTTTGAAATCTTATAATTAAAATTTTGATTTGCGTGAGAGATCATTTTTCTAGATATTTTGCAGCAGTGCGTTCTTTACAATATCGCCCGCATATGAAATGTGAAGTTTTTTTCTATAATGAATTCAATCTCATTATGATAAAATCAAGTTTTTTGCTTTATGTATTCATTCTATTATTTCTCTTAGTAAATTTAGTCAATATATGGTAATACAATAGTGTGAATGCGTGAAGAGTAATTTTATTTTTGTATGATTTCTGTTTAATATTTCATTTTCAAGAGCTTCGAATAAATTAACGGCAAGTAGGAAATAACTATTCTTCTTTGAATTGCAACTTCAGATTTATTTTATGTTATTCAACTTTTCTCCAATCCCTTTTAGTAAACACAATCAAATAGCTAGTAGTAAATTATATTAGTCGGTAAGAAGAACATTAGAGCAGTTTTTTTTTAAAAGAATTTTCTATATTTGTAAGAAGTATATCAGTGATGTGCATGAGAAAAAAGTATCAATATAGACGTTTGACTACTGCATACTAGTAAACATTCTGTTAGCGTTCTATATGCAACAGTAATACATTATGGGGATCACCTTACTAAATGTTACCATATTATCTTTGAAGCGTCTTTAGGTCTAAAATAAAAATAGAACGGTTTATACAGTACATCATACGTCATAATTCATAAGACTCCCAGTTTATATTTTGTAGATTAAAATCAAGTAAAGTAATTCATATCTTACACGCATACATATTGAATCAACAATCATCAGAATTCATTTCGAAGTATCATACGATACATTTTTTTAGTGACATTATTAGTTCTCATACAAATACATGTTTTACTATTCTATTTGACGCGAGTAAATTTCTATATGTAAGTTAGAGATAATGCTCTAGTGATTAAAAGAGAATTAGAACATAGACTGTCTGCACGCATTGAATATTGAGAATCTCAAGGAGAAATATTTTTTCAAAAGAAATATTTTGAGATAAATCACATATCACGTCTCAATACATATATGCATACGGCTGAGATGTACTCAAATATCACCAGCAACAATAAAACTCTACTCGAAAAATCAAGCCGGTACGATACTCGTTTTGTATAAAAAAAAGCTTGTGTAAGTCAAATCTAGTGCGTAGATTATTACGAAAATTAATTGCTATTTTCTTGATAGTAAATGTAGATAATATAGCCAATATCGGATTTCTGAATGCACTAAAATTCAAGGTCTGATCGTTCTTCATGATGACCTTTCAAATGTGCATAAGCAAGACAAAAAAAGAATCAAATCTTAACGATCAGTTCATATATATATATATATATATATATATTTATATATGGATTATCGTCGATGTTCTTTTGGATACTTCTAACATTAATTCAAGATTTTATAGCTTCAGTTGTAAAATTCTTTGAAAAAAGAGAACAGAAGAATGAAAGAAAAAATAATAGAAAAAGTGCTTAAAAGTTTCTTTGTTTTAAAATGATGGAATGAGAAGAAAGAAATGGTGTTAGAAAAATTTTCTATTTTACGATTGGTTTTTTTTTAAGGACGATTTCTCTTGAAAAAAGAAATAAAAAATTCTCTAAGTGAACGACAAAGCCTGAGGGTATTTCTGTCCTCGCGTATTACCAATTTACTCTTGTTTATTTTGTAAGTTCTCGCACCCTCTACTTTTGTTTTTAATTCCTGCTGTTTCTCGTCTACATTTGATTGCAACTTCAAATTTTTTGCATGTTTCTTATTCTCAACAAGAAATCTTTCGCCGAGAAACATTCCATATCGATAAATATGAATCTTTTGGCAACAAAAATAATCGGCTTTGTTTTCACAGTCAGTGGAGTGGTACAAATCTAGACAAAAAGGTCATTGTATTCCATGCAGTCAGGTTTTTTACCTGCCGTTGATTCTCTTTCTTGTTTTTTTTCTTCATTTCCTATTGATCGTATACATCGGCGAACATATTATGCACCATATTGAAAACTAGATGCCGTGTGATTTTTATTCTTTTTTTTCCAAGTGTATTGATATGAAAGAGAGTGCAAGCGAAAGTGAAGATTCCTATTCACGCCGAATCTGAGGACATTTTTAGAAAAGTTATTTTTGCAGTTTTCCATTCTATGTGAGTATTTTTACAGTTTTTCTTCATGTTTTGCTCGTTCATATTATGCTTGATCGCGTTCATTTTACTAGAGACCTCAAATAAAAACTGGCATTAACATTAACGCATTTCATTTTCCACTGATGAAAAAGAATGTTTCTCCTAATTTGAATTCTATAGGTGTGATGAAATAAAATATTTATAAGTTTTACTTAATTAAAATATCTGTTGTAGATTAATAAAATTGAAATAGGTTAACTGCCACGATTGATTTCATTTTATATAATTTTCATGTAAGACTCATGAAAGTTAATAGACATTTTTACCTATATCCTGAAAGAAGAATCAAACATCAAGCCGATTTACTTGTTTTCGTTGATTACTAATGACCTTTTTTTTATGATGACACGCTTTTCTTAATCAAGAATTCACACTGAACGACATAATGAATTTCATTGAACATTCATGTTAGAAGTGATGAAATTATAGGCAGTAAATTAACAACAGCAGTCATTCTTTTATTAGACAATAGAAGAAACTAAAATTTCGACGTCAACAAGACATCGTTAGTAGTGCTTAAGATCTACGATCTACACAATTGCTATTACTGTCTTTTTCTTTTTCATTTTCATTGTGAACACTGCAAAACGAGAGAGGATAATTTGATAATTCAATTTAACGATTGAGATAAGAATGCGCTTCTTCGATTGTCGAATAAAAAAATGTTTGTCATTGTTAATGTACGTCATTAAATTTCATAATTACTGTTCAATGACGAACAATTTGTCAGTTGGAATTTTTGTAAATTTCGATAAAAATTACAATCACTCAGTAGTACTTCTCTTTATTGTTATTGTTGCTTAGTTAGGGAAAATCGCTTTTGTTCGATCAATATCTACTGTATAAACATCTAGAAGACACTTGTTACTTTTCATGTGAAAATAATTCTCTAGAATTTTTTCTTGGAACCTTGATAAAATAGTTTTTACATTCCTCATACATTACTCGTTAGATATAAATACTGACTGTTATTCTTCTTCTATGACTTTCTTCGAATCAAGATGCTGTTTAAATCCTTCCCCATAATAGAAGCCCCCAGAGAAAGGTCAATATGAAAATGGATTATAAGCACCCTGGGCTTCTATTACTACAGTAGTAATTTGTTCTTGTCTCTATATAAAATTTCACAGATTTTCGTGAAATTATTTGAACCTATCGCAAATAAATAGTCAAGATCATTGAAATAATGACCCGCTTACTAGGAGCAAACAGCTGAGATCAGCCTTTTCTTATTTCCATGATTTCCCCATTTTAAATCAATTGATTAAAAATTAGAAAAACTCAAAAGAACTCAATAATAAATTAAAAGTTTAAAAGAACTAAAAAAAATTAAATAAACTTAAAAATCAGAAGAAACAATAAAAAATTAAAAGAATCAAAACAATCTGTTTCAAGTTGTTTCCACCTAAATTGAGATTTTGAACAACAGAGATTTAAAATTTTATCACTTATGTTGGAAGGCATTGATTTTTTTTGAAACTTCTGTACGAAAGTCGCATTAGTAGCACTCCCATAATAGAAGTCCCGTTAAAAAATTTTGAACGATGATCAGTTCAGAAGCCCCCGGAGGCTTCTATTATTGGGGGGGGGGGGGGGGGGGNATAACAAACATATTTCTGATTCATCTTGAATAGCAATGACGTATGTGGTTGACTGACATATAGACATACAGCATTTTCAGTGGACAATCCTACATATTTGATCATTGAAATAAAAATTCAATATTTAGTTTATCGAAAAAGAGGCGTATGCTGTGATAGATAGACAAATGTAGGTACTACGAGTTTGTTTCATATCACTTTGAGATATATATATATATATACATATATCTTTATTATTCGCTCCCTTTTTATCAACGGTAATATAAGTTTAATGTGTGTGTCCTACAAACGTCACTTACATGTCTATTTAGCAGACAAAAAAAAAGAAAAGAAACCAGTATTTATGTCTTGGCATGATGAGAACCTTTTCAATATCTCGTTTAATTCGATAATTGTTTCATCAATGAGTATCGTACGTATGTTTAAAGCATTATTGGCAGTTATGTCAGACTATTTTTTCCACAGTGTTTGCCTTACGTATAACTGTAAATGTGTAATAATAATAGTAGAAGTAGATGAAATATAATACGCTTTTATATATAAGAGTACTTGTATATCGACGTCTGATAACGTAAAGCAAATATATAAAAAAAGCTACTCTTCTTAATAAAAATGCAGCCGAATGTTATTCTGGCGGTTTGTTTAAGTAAAAAAAAGAAAAAAAACTAATTATGAATAATAGTATGCTGTAATAATTTGAATCATAACAGTAATCAATAAACCGTCTGTCATATTATTCCATATAGAAGTCAACAAAAGAAAACATACAATGACGACTCCTAATGGTAAGTCGGGTAGTTTTTCTAAAAATAATATTTACCATTTCCTCATTTCAATTTAGCGACAAATATCAACGTAAATGGATGGTCAGTAGTATTTAATGTGCCGAATACATTATGTTGGATTCGCATTGTACTTATGTTTGTTAGTATCCGATATTTTGGGTATGAATATTTTTTTTAAATTTTCTAAAACATTAAAACAAAACTAATTCCTGTGTTTCTTTTTTAGTCAACAAAAGTACCTGTTGTTTGCTATTTATCATACAGTATCCGGTTTTCTTGATTCATTCGATGGTATCTTAGCACGTTCTTTGAATCAAAAATCATTACTTGGAGAATATTTCGAATTCATATTAGATAAATATGCTCATTTTATAATGTATGCTTGCATTGGATTACTCTATCAATCGTATATAGTGTATTTCTTTTTTGAAATTGCACTCGAACTATGGACTACAATGTTTGATTCTCATATACGAGCAATATCGAGAACTGACAAATCATGGTTACACGGACCAACGTTTTTATCAACAACATGTTCAGTATCGATTTATCATAGTCCGAATCTTCGCTTATTGAATTGGTATGGGCCAGACATATTTCATACGGTATTAGTTCTACGTTATATTCTTATTAATGATAACAAAAAGAATTTAACTCGACACATTCAACGATATATTTCGTTAGACAGGGTTTATTTAATTCTGAAATGTATACTTATATTTACTGGATTTTTTGCAATTTTACGAACAGTCATAACTTCATGCTTTCTATTTGACAACTTGTATAGACTGGGTCGAGGCAATTAGAATAGTGCTTTGCATTTTATAAAGTACTTGCGAAATTTGATGAAGAATCACATGTATTTCCAGTTTATTCTACTAGCAAACTAACACGTGTGTGTATTACAGTTATATTTGGACTAAATCAAGTAAAATTTAAGAAGATACAAGAATTCTTTGGCAATCATTTTACTATCTGTTTTTTTGAAAACGGTAAACTCTGTACAGTAAATTGTTTTTTATGCTTATTCATAATGATACTTAAAAAAAAAGCATAAATAAATAAGTAAAAAATACCGAAGATAACTTTTATTAAAGCGTCTTTCTTTTACTGCATGCTGACGTGCAAAGGTTTTTCTTTAGATACAAAAAAAAATTAATGATAAGAACTTTTTTGTAAATATCAGCATAAAATCTGATGTATGATAGAAAATCGATTATATGAATGTCTATCTATCTATTCCATTTGATTATTTTATTTTTCTTTTAAATAATTTTTGAAAGCCAACGGCACATATCGACACCTATATTAGAGAGAAAAATTAAGTTTTCGTTCGTCGTTTGCTTATTTATTAAATACTTTATCGTAATAGCTGCTTTCCGTGCATATATGACTGCTATGTCAGTGACAACTAGCAAATAAACGTAAAACATTAGTTGACAGACAATCTTCATTATTTATATAAATACAAGCCTGTCTTTCTATTTAAATGCTGATAAGAATATTGAAGACACGTAGAACACAATAGCGAACAATGTTCTCTTGGTATTTGATATTTACTATTGCTTATGCATTCAATTATGTTCATGGCTATGATCCACTTCGTCGTTTTCTAGCAAACGTTCCACAAACACCTCTTCAGACAAATGATGATCCTGGCCAACCACTCTTTCTTTCACCTTACATCGAATCGGGTCAAATTGATCAAGCAAGAAATTTAAGTCGCGTCAATCTACAACCCGATTATTCATATCCATCATATTCAGGATACTTAACAGTGAATAAAACTCTTCAAAGCAATCTGTTTTTCTGGTTCTTTCCTGCACAAAGTGGCAACGCAAGTGCACCAGTAGTTGTTTGGCTACAAGGCGGCCCGGGTGCATCATCATTATTTGGCCTATTTGCCGAACAAGGTCCCATCATGGTTGATAAAGAAAAACACCTTCATCCAAGTGCTACAACATGGAATATGAAATATCATCTTCTCTACATTGATCAACCAGTTGGAACCGGTTATAGTTTTACTAAAAGTGAAGATGGCTATGTAACTAATGAAGACGAAGTGGCTCGTGATTTGTACGCAATGTTAACACAATTCTTTCAAATCTATTACGAATATGCTGCGTCACCATTCTATGTAACAGGCGAATCCTATGGTGGAAAATATGTACCAGCTATTGTGTATAAAATTCATGTTGAAAATCCTCAAGCAAAAATAAAAATCAATCTTAAAGGTATGGCTATCGGCGATGGTCTTATCGATCCATATAATCAATGGGATTATGGACCAGTAATGTATCAATTTGGATTGATTGATGAACGTCAACTTGAATTTGTTAATTTGCAAACAGCATTAGCACGAAATGCTATCCGCTTACAACAATATGCTTTAGCTTACGATCTCTTCGGTAATTTATTTGATGAATTTTATTCAAACTCAACTGGTTTAAACGATGTTTATAATTATTTATTAACTCAATCACCTGAAGCATTTGGTTACTATGTACCATGGGTAACAGCAAATGAAAATCGTCTTAAAATTCATGTTGGAAATTTAACTTATAACGATGGTAGTAGAGTTCAAAAAGGTTTAGCAAATGATGTCATGCAAACCATTGTTGGAAAAGTTGCTGTTATTGTCGATAACTATAAAGTGCTCATTTACAATGGTTTACTCGATGTTATTATTGCATCATCAGTAACTATGGATTGGGTTGATAAACTTCAATGGCAACATGCTGATGAATTTCGAAGTGCTGAACGAAAAGTTTGGAAAGTTAAAGATACTGATACTGAAGTAGCTGGCTATTTAAAACAATACAATTCGTTCTTTGTTGCGTGGGTTCGCAATGCTGGTCACATGGTTCCTTCAGATCAACCACGAGCTGCATTTGATCTTATTGATCGATTTGTGTCAGCTTAATTAGAATCAATTCTATATTTTTTAATTTTATGAACTGTTTTTCACCAAGCTAATTTTTTTCTGTTAGATTGTTAACGAAAGAGAAAAATAAATATAAAAACCAATTATGGACGCTTTTTTTTGCCTTAGTAAATGTTTAGATAATGAAATTTCAATTCACATTTGCAAACTTCTACTTGCATTCTTCGATACGCTGAATAGTTGTTTTAGTTTTTCTTATCGTCAGACTTGAAGAACTTAAACTTACTTGACAATTGAGCCTTTAAGTCGTATCGAAAGTTTCGATTTATGACGTTCAAGTTAGCTAACATTTGAATACTCAACAGTAGCTTCACTAGAAATATATTTCATAATATATCTAATCTTCAATAGAAACACGTGCTATTATTCTTAATTTTAATCGATATTCAAGAACAATTAATTTCTCTTAATTGAAATCTCTAGATACCGTAGAAAAGATGATATACTAACCTGTAAGCGTAGAGAATAATTGAAGACAACTTCGCTTCATTTTCACATTCATATTTCGACTGCTGATAAAAAGTCACAACGTACTTACAGTAAAATTGCAAACAATGTCTGTTTGGCAACATCTATTCATATTTATCTGTCTAATAAATTCTGCCTACGGTTTTAATTCACTAGGCTGCTTTCAAGCAAATATTCCACAAACATCTAGTCAGACAAATGATGATCCTGGCCAACCACTCTTTCTTTCACCTTACATCGAATCGGGTCAAATTGATCAAGCAAGAAATTTAAGTCGCGTCAATCTACAACCCGATTGTATTCATATCCATC